TATAGAAGATTTTAAGAGAGGCCCATAGTGTAGCAATTAATGAATCTGAAAATATTATAAAAATAGTAATGTTAAATTCTGTTATAATTAAATGATTTAACATTGACGATATAGTATAGAGTATATGTTATTACTTACTGTGTAATGCTGCCTCGTCATTAAGAAGAATTGTCCATATTGCATGGAAAGCAAACAACGAATGATTTGGTGAAGTAAGGCTTAAGTTCAATGTAAGGGCGGAAGGGGGGGGAGATGGAAATAAGGTGTAGGCGGAAATGATGGTAAGGGCGGAGGGGAGAGGGTGTAACTGTATATTACGTTTTGTGTGTAACAATTATAATATGACTTTTATTGTTCCTTGCATCCTGTTGTGTACTAACAAACAACTAACTTTAACAATTATAATATGATGTATAGGATTAAACATTTCAGTGAAAATATCATTCGGTTATGGGTTTTGTTTACTGATTTCGTATATATGAAACTTTTCATAAGTATCTAAGGTTCGGCAGTTAAATCGTAGATTTTTGTTGATATGTATTTGCCTGATGATGACCGATAGTGGCCGAAACATCTAGCAAAGCCACAGCTGAACGCTGACTTTGATGTTCTGTGTTGTGACGGTTCATTAAAGAGCTGTATATTGTGGCACAGCAAGATGCATGAAATTAAGACAATACGATTATTATTCATGGATTTTATTAACAACTAATATTTATCATTATAAGTGAATACATCTTTATATGTTTATAAATAACGGCATTTTATACTGCTAAAAAACAGTATTCCAATATCAATATACTGGCCACTGTTATAATACTATCAGGATAACTGAGGTTAATGTAAAAATTCAAATATGTGATCGTGGCTTAATGAACGGAAAAATTGTTATAAGGAATGATGAATGTGCGGTATATCCATACTACCTTTTGTGGTGACGGAACAAAATAAACAAAGCTCATATTTTATATGACAGACGGACTATAACGTAACCCGCGACAATGCTTGTTCTTTGAGAACATCCAGATGTTCTAGCCTTGAAAGATTCAAGAGAGAATTATTTTACGACTGGCACTTTACCTCCAATCAGTCCGTCTTGGCAACAAGTCTCCTGAGAATCACAACCTGCATGTTCTTTACAACTGAAAACTTGCGGTCATAGGCCTTATGTAACATTCTCACTGACGAGAGGCTGGGTTTGTCGTTTACAATTGCTGCTGGCACTCGCAAGCGCAGTCATTCTAAGGTCCGCGCCCCGCGGGACTCACGACCACATTTTACCGGCCCACATTCCACACTCCCCCCACTTTGAGGACCAGGTCACCGTGTTTATATCCCCCCAGGAACAGGCTGGCCCCCAGGCACTGGATTCCCTATTCCTCGCCTCTTACGACTCGCAGGTGTTGAGCCCATTTCATTAGTTATTAAGTATAATTTTTGTAAGATTGAATGTTTATGTTAAAACGCCAGACGGCTGGCCGGAAGGCAAGGAGACAGCCGCGGCTGACTCTTCGCATTCCTTGGCAGTCGATCGAATTGTCTTTAGAAAAGACTGTTTAAGCATCAGTGGAAAGACCCGGTCAGGTTTCGCTTAGCGCGACAAGGCATGTCCGGCAAGATGCGGACCTCAGCGATTTCGGACGCGCAGCTTTCGCAACTTGGGAAAAAGTTGAATCTTGGAATTGGAAAAACAGGCCATTTCAGGCACTCTGTTTCTAGCAGTTGCCAGAAACGAACGAGAAAAGCAAAGTGTGCCTGTGGAAAATCTTGGGATGGCGCCAGTGTTTTTCATGTGCATCATGTTTAGCGCGTGTGAGTACTTGCCCGTGGTCGGGTCACTGATGGCTTATTAGAACTTCTGGTTTAAATGATTTTGGTGGGTTAATGTGTTTTTAGAATTTAGAGGTGTATAAGTGTTTTAATTTGATTATATATTCCATTTTTGTTGTTGTTTGGAGAACTCGTGTTTTTGTGACCCTCCTAGTGAAGCATGTTTTCCACAACGTAGGTTAAGTGATATCCACGGACGTCCGATAGGGGGTGAGTACAGTCACTGCCCCCTATCCGGGCACAACACAGGGCTACACAAACTAATCATTGAGCGTTCAAGGGTTAATTCATTTAACAGAAGTGACTGTTCCTGCTGCACTATTCATATGATAAATTCAAATGAATCACCTGATTCGACGAGTCCTTCCTTCCCTAACTTATTAAACGAACCAAGATCTTTCGGCCATTGGGTCATTTTCAGTGGCGTCCAAACAACTCTAAAATAGATCTTTACAATCTGAACATTTATTTAATAGTAACTATTTAAAATGAAGTCAGAGAAGCCATTTCTTAAAATAATGTCAGCACTAATATCAAAATAGAACAAGGATCAGTCAGTTTTCGTGTAGTATTCACATCTCCCGTACGTGGTTTTCTGGTGACTTTAACCGTGTCCTGCGGCACTGTCCTTTAGTGCGAGGCCTTCCTTCCACGTTTATTAAACTTTCTTTCAATAATCATTTTCACGCTCCTCAAGATGACGTAAGGAACGCAAAATGTTGGTCAGTAAAATCATTTGTTGACTACAATACTCACTGAATTAGATGGTGCTTCTGAGTTCAACACTGGGTTCAATATGAGTTCTATAATTTAAGAGAGTTCGGTGGCCTTCACAAGGGTTCTCTGAATATGTTCAACGAGTTCTTCTTTTGTGCCCTCCTGGCTAGATTTCTAATTATTATCGCCTATCTCTGTTAGAAACCCCCGGCCTTCTTTGGTACCGCTGCAGTGGACGTGCACTCCAAATCCCCACTGTTAATCATTTCAACATGGCGGCCATCCTGCAAGTGGGGAATCGATGCAAGATGTTTAAAAATTATATCAAATATCGGCAGTAAGGCTTATTGTCATGTTAGGAATTCGGTTCAGTACGGATAGAGCGTGAAATCTCTTAGCCACAACAGACACCACCCTCCTATATGATCACGTTAACAATTTAAAGGTTATATTACCGTGACACAAGTGAGAAGCAACGAAATCAACAGAGCGACCCAGTCTCGTGTGACTACATCGGTGACACTGTCTCTCCAGCATTATATCCAACCATATATACCGCAGAATGCAGCGCTCCCATTCAACACGACTGCATTTCATAGCCTATCGCGAACCACTTTGTTATCTGTCATGTTTCTTATCAACTTGAGCATCAGAAGAACTGTACAGGTGTTGCTGGATTTATGTTACCACCTCCAGGAATTTCTTATCCTGTCCGTAATGAAGGAGCAAACTGCATAATTAGGACCTTCATAACTTGTACTATTCTCCAAGTATAATTAGAATGATCAAGTCAAGGAGGATGAGGAGGGCAGGGCATATAGCACGAATGGGGGAGACGAGGAACGCATATACGATATTAGTGGGAAAACCAGAAGGAAAGAGACCACTGGGAAGACCAAGACGTGTTTGGGTGGACATTATTAAAATGTATCTTAGAGAAATAGGATGGGATGGTATGAATGGAATTGATCTGGCTCAGGATAGGGACCAGAAGAAGGCTCTCGTGAAACGGAAATAAACCTACGGGAAAATTCTTGAGTAGCTGCAGAATTGGCCGTTCCTCAAGAAGGTCTCAGCTCCATGAGGCGGATAGGGAGATGTCTCCTAAAACGTCACACACGGAACCACTGCGGACTGACAACTGTATCACGTCAACATATATTTCATACGGAAGGAAAAATGTTATAAATTGAAATCAACGTCGTATCTAAGCAAATGAAAATATAGGGACGTTTCGGAAACAAAACTGTACGCATTAGTGTACACAGGTCATGACATTCTAAGACAATACAGAGGAGAATTTGCAGCTCTAAATGATCAAAGTAAGAGAACGTACCTCAAAATTGTTTATTGCAAATTGTGTGGAGAAAAACAGAAATTATGCTAGTGCGTCTACAGAACTATGAACTACTGTTGCTAAGTGGGGATCCTTCTCCTTAATAGCCGTTAACAACTTCCAACTGCACAGACCTTTAAAGTGGCATTGAAAAGCTTGTCCACAGGGCATTCCCTTTCCACAACATTATACTTATTTGAACCGACGCGAACACACTCGTAGAATTTCCTGCAACCGTCGGCTGCAAATACGCCTTCTTCCTTACACGCTCTCTTACACTTCGATGTTTTGGTATCGAACTTTTGTCCCCCACTGCATTTGACAACTGCCGTTGGCTGGTCGCGTACACAGATGCCATAGATGGAAGGATCCTTGGGATAGACGACATACTCGATTGGACGCGCGTATGAACACTTGATGGTCGCACAGTCGGCCGAGACCTTCTTGCGAACGCAGGTGTGGTTCGCGTGCAGGTACACATAGCTGGCGGGACAAGTGTAGGTAGTGGCTTTCAGGCTGGCGTCACACGAGTGGAACGTACTGCAGTCGTCAGGATCGGGAAAGTACCCCTCTCCGGTGCACTGGAATTCCTGTGGGCATTCTTTGCCCTTCGTGGAGTTACATACACCACTGTTACAGTAAGGCTGTGCTGGATTTTGTGCGGCGCAGTTGTAGGACCCTAATGAAAGGTATTTTCCTTCGGAGAGATAGAAGCAAATCGGTGCTCTGTTGCAACTGTAGCAGACGGGCCCAGTTGCAGTGCAATGCTCATCAGTTCGGGCAGAATCGGCGAGAGCAGAAACCAAGGGCACAAGAGCACTGGGGAAATCTTCTGCGACCTCAGCGTGCACCTGAATCCACAATAAGAATAAATCCTTTCAATGTGCAATGCACGTCTCACTACAAACAGGAAGAGAGGGTGTGCATTTATAAACGCCTCGCAACAATCAAAACATCTTCCTTCGTTTTATTCATTTGAGGAAGTATCTGCCGAAACGTCTTTCAAATAAACATATACATATAGATTAAAGATAAATGATATATATGCTGTGATACAGTGTATTCTAGAAGGCGGTTACAGACGTTTCGGAGTAACATATTAATATCATCTTCGGGGTTCAAGGATAAGAGAAGTAACCAGTAAACAGAGCGAGCTGGGCAAAAAGGAAACTTGAGATCTGTGAAAGAAAGCTACTGTTGCGAAATATACTGCTCAGAAATGAAGTGACACTGTTCTTAAAAGTTACCATTGTACAATACTGTTCATGGAGGAAATGCCGTAGAAAATTTTGTATCTAGCAAATGATCGACTTAGCACACAAATTTCTTCAGATATCGCGTGAATAGTAACACTGATCAGACACAGCTGCATCTGTAACATCTCGATTTTACTGACACAACAGTGTTACATTTCATAAGTACTCTTCTATTTCTGTAGCATATTTTGCAACGCTATCAGCACCTAGCGACCACCTCTGTGGTCCAGTGGTCAGAGTTCCTTCTTACAGACCCAGAGGTCTGGGTTCGATTCCCTTCGCTGCCAGATTTTCTGAGAAGTAGTGGATTTGGAACGGGGTCCACTGAGCCTCGTGAGGATAACTGAGAAGCTATTTCAAAGAAACAGCGGTTCCGGTCTAGAAAACGGAGATTAACAGCCTTGGGGATCCGTTGCGCTCACCACGCGACACCCTCTACCCGCGAAAGTTGGCACTAACTTCGTACCGATAAGCGGCCGTCACTCGGTCCGTATACAGGGTGGGCCAGACTCAATTAGGCAGTTTTGATCATTAATAACTAACCAATCCAACAATACACGGGATAATGGGAAAGTACCTTTTGTTGTCGATAGATGGCAGCATCATACGGTATGCTGTGAATGAGGTCAATACTTTGCCTACTTAGTGCACATCGAGGAATCTTCATGGCCGGTAGACGGTTGTCTATCGAGCAGCGTGTAAAATGTGTGCGCCTTTTCTCAGTTACTAACAATGTATCAGAAGTCCAGCGCAGGATGTTGGAAGAGTCTGGACCGCCAGCAGTCCACAGGGACACAATCGTCCGAATAAACAAGCAGTTTGATGAAACTGCCAGTGCTTTGAATCCCAAGCATCCTGGTCAGCCGAGAACTGTCCGAACTGCTGACACACAAGCTCGAGTTGCTGCAGAACTGGCATCATCTCCTCAGAAATCGAAGTCTACCCGCCGTTTGTCGGTCCTACTGGACATTTCGAGGACAAGTTTGCGGAGAGTTTTGAGTGACATGAAGCTGACGCGATACCATCCACGTCTTATTCATGTTCATGTTCTTAACGAGGACGACTTCGACAGGCGACTTGAGTTCGCCGAGTTGATGCTGACCAAGTTTCAGGAGAACCCTGACCTTATCCGGAATATTTTCTGAACTGATGAGGCCAAATTTCACACATCAGGATCGGTCAACAGACACAACTGCGTGTTTTGGCGCCCAGAGAACCCCAGTGCCACAATTGAATACGATTTCTAGACCCGGGAGTGATGGTGTGGGGCGGCGTGACGTTCGAAGGACTGATTGGTCCGTTCTTCCTTGAAGGTTGCGTCACGGGGGAAACCTACCTAAAGTTGCTGAAGGAAAGTGTCATCCCAGAACTCCAGAGGAGACAGAACTTTGATGAACTGTGGTGGCAGCAAGATGGGGCCCCACCACACTTCACAAATATTGTTCGGGCGTTCTTGCATCAAGTGTTTCCTCAACGCTGGATTGGCCGTCGAGGGCCTGTGGAGTGGCCAGCCCGAGCACCCGACATCACCCCACCAGACTTTTTCCTTTGGGGTTACCTCAAAGACAAGGTGTACGCTAATCCCATTGACAGTGTGAAATATCTGCGTGAGGTGATTGTTCAGGAGTTCAATAAAGTTCGGTGAATATGTGTAGAAAGGCGTGTGAAAATGTTGCTTTGCGTCTGCAAGCCTGTGTTGACTTAGGTGGTGCCCAGGTTGACCAGCATCTTGAAAATCGATGACTTGTGTGTGTGCGATTCCATTTTTGTAACCATTGCAATTGTTAACATTTATCAATAAAAATAACATCTAATCAAAAACTGCCTAATTGAGTCTGGCCCACCATGTAGTTCTTTGCGGACCAGAGGCTACGGAGTTTATCAGCACCTAGAGAAGTATATTGTCGAGAGACGGCATAACTGATATGTGATTAATTGGAAAGGAATAGAAACAAAGGCGTCGTGGCCAATTCCAGGTATTATCCCAGGGTTTTCATGAAAGAACAGTGGAAAACCCCTAAAAAAACACTGAAGGTAGATTGCGTTTCGACCGAGACAAGAACACAGCACCCCATCATTACACCTTCAAAATATTAACGTTAAACCAACCTGCCGTACGGTATCTAAAATGAATTCAGAGGCTGTGTCAACATCACGTAATGATCTACATCTTATGTAATCATCAGCAAGTTGCGATATTTATGTCTTCAAAATATAACGGGGAAACATACACACGGCACTGGAGATCTCCTTGAACACACAGTTCGTTTGTTCAGGAACGTCGCCAACTCAAAGGGTAAAGCTATCCGTGCAAAAGGCCGTGGAGGCCCATAGCGTTGTGAGACTCTGAGGCTCCCACATTTTCGAGACAATCGGCTCACGCATGGCGGTGAGGTTGTCAGCCTTACGAGTCGTCTGACCTTTATCCCCGAGGATTATTTCTGGTACTCATTTCTATTAGAGGCTGAGTAGACCCCATGGCCATAGTGCAGCTGGAAGGATTAGGTCAACTGAAAAATCAAAAAACCTCACCGGGAGTCGAACCCGTCAACTTCCGGCTTGTACCACAGTGCCTCAACGAACAACTTACAGTATACCCTTACTCAAAGCGTAGAGATATTTTAAACAGCACAAGAACATTGTTCATGAGCGTTGCTAATCAAGTAAAAACATGTCCTAGTTACTATACGCTGCGCATTCTGCCCATTTGCACACAAATATATATGACTAACATTCATCGTATCTGTAACTAACATTTCAGTCAGACTACGTGAAACAGTCTCTTCCTGCCAAACAAATCGGTGTGCTGAAATGAACCAGTTTCTCCCGGAAACCCGTCAGAAAGCTGACACAATGTAACAGGCTACCTGACTGGACTGCCACTGATATGAAGAGTGGCTGGGTCAGTGGAACTGACTGACTGAGTGGACAGCCAATGGTATCAAGAAGGGATGGCTCAGTGGAACAGATTTACTCGATGACTGGATTGCCACTGACATGATCAGCGGCTGGCTCACTGGCAGACACTGACTAACTGGACTGCCACTGATATGAAGAGTGGCTGACTCAGGGGGAGACACTGACTGAATGGACTGCCGCTGATATGAAGAGTGACTGGCACAGTGGAACAGACTGCTTGATATGAACAGCGGCTGTCTCAGAGGAAGAGACTAGCTGGACTGCCACTGATATGAAGAGTGGCTGGGTCACTGGAACAGGCTGCCTGATTGGACTGTCACTGATATGAAGAGTGGCTGGGTCAATGTAACAGACTGCTGACTGAACTGCAATGGTATGAAGAATGGCTGTGTCAGTGGAACAGGCTGCCTGATTGGACTTCCACAAATATATGACTAATATTCATCGTATCTGTAACTAACATTTCAGTCAGACTGCATGAAACAGTCTCTTTCTGCCAAAAAAAACGGTGTGCTGAAATGAACCAGTTTCTCCAGGAAACCCGTCAGAAACTGACATAATGTAACAGGCTGCCTGACTGGACTGCCACTGATATGAAGAGTGGTTGGATCAGTGGAAGAGACTGACTGATTGACTGATTGACTGACTGACTGACTGACTGACTGACTGACTGACTGACTGACTGGACTGCCATTGATATGAAGAGTGGCTGGGTCAATGTAACAGACTGCTGACTGAATTGCACTGGTATGAAGAGTGCCTGGGTCAGTGGAACAGGCTGCCTAAGTGGACTACAACTGGTATGAGGAATGGCTGGCTCAGTGGAACAGACTGATTGGACTGTCACTGGTATGAAGGGTGGCTGGGTCAGGCCGAGCTCTCCTATCGGATGATATTAATAAAGAGTTAAATATTGTATTACCGCCACAGAAGCGATGAGCAGTGACACCACCAGGAAGATGAAGCCTCGTTCCTTGTGTGCCTCCATTGCTGCTACTGAACCTCCAGCACTCCGGCCAGCCTTATATACTGTTCAGAGTGCAGCTTGAAATCCCGTCGTGACCCAGTCTCTTATCTGTTGGGTTTCTTATAAATCTGAAGGACGATTTACTGCTTCCCTCCGAGTAGTTCAAATATACCATTACACCACCACTCAACCACGTTGCTATGGTAACATCAGGAAATAATTTCCTTAATTAATTCTGTCATAAAAATCCCTAATTTGGAGACAAGTTTTAAATCGTGGAATACATTTTCATACTGAATTTCCATTCAAATCGTCACGATCCTCGCTTCATTATTTTCTTTTTTGTGTACTGTATTGTGAAAAGCCGGTCAAGGTAGCCGAGCGATCTAAGACATGTACTGTCTTCGCTCGCTAGGAAGCGGGGATCGTGGGATCGAATCCCATAAAAGGCTTGAATGCTTGACCTGTGCTTAGGCAGAGACCTTGCGACGAGCTGATCACCCTTCAAAGGAGTCCTACCGTCTGTAAAAACGATCAACGAAACTGAGAAATCAGCCCTGTGCTCCAAAGTTGGAGCGAAGAGGAAGAAAAAAAAATTTTTAAAAGAAACCAATTTTCATTTGAGATTCAGAGCTTGTTCTCATTTAAATAACGCCATTATTCGATATGTTTATAAATTTGCATGTCTTGCATACAGACCAGGCTCCAT